TGTGTGTGTGTGTGTGTGTGTGTGTGTGTGTGTGTGTGTGTGTGTGTGTAGGGGAGGGTGTTGAGTATAAGACACAAAACCCAGCTTTCTCCTTCAGCTTGGTTAAATTACTCAACCTCCTGAACTAAGCTTCCTTTTCATAACTCCTTCTTCTAAACTACTTTTGTGATTTCATTCATAGATTTTTAGTTGGTTCTGACTTTCATCTCTCAGACTAATATAACCAAGGCTGAAGTACAAAGGATTCTAGATGGACAGTCAGGATGTGGGTGAGGTAACCCGCGTTATGAAACACACTGCTCATCAGTTACCTTGAACAAATCACTCACCTCCACAGTTTTCTCATTTCCTTACTGTGAAAACTGGGTCACAGATTGAAATGCCTTGAGGTGCCAGGCGGGTAATACAAATGCGTGAATGGGTTCAGGGGTCGGGCAGTGTTGATGGTGGGAAGTGTGGTGGACAGATCAGCTTGCCTTTCCTAAAAGCATTCAAAACCAAAGTTAAAGAAATAAAAACAATCTGTAGGCCAGACGAAGTTTGGAGTTCTGCTGTTTGCAATCTCTGAGTTAGATAATAATTCTCTCCCTCTCCGGTTTTCGTAGGTCTGTAGTCTTTGTTTCTTTGGCTTGAAGTCAAGATCTCTCAGCATCAGATTCTCCCCAGATTACAAATTGGGCACCTTTGGAAACTTCATTAATTCTTTTCATCACCAGAGAGCCCTTCCATAAATTAACTTATTCGTTGCACTCTTTATGTATTACTCATTGATTGCAGTCTTGAAGCTGCCTGACAACCTTATTCATACTTGGAGAATTGAACAGAGTCTATAATATGAATTTTGAAGACATAAGACACTACAAGTGTGAATCAATTGAAGAAAGTAGCGCCAAATTTTAAGTTTATCTGGAGAAAAAGGATGTGTTTTAAGCTAGTTTTAAGCCATCCAAACTTAAAAAGAATCAGTGATTGTGTCCTCCTTTGCCATGATGTATCTTCAAAATGGAGATAAATTCTTAGGGCTTGAAAATCGGTAGCAGTGGGATGAATGAGGAAGGTAGCCATTTCCCTGCTTCAATGAAAACATTTCAGATTCGCTACATGTTAAAACACACCTGGAAACAAACTGTAATGAGCTCAGTAATCAGAATTTGGTTAAGATGGAGGAGGAGAAGAAAGCAAGAAGAGAAAAGCTTAAAGGAATTAAGTATGTCCTGGGTGAAGTGATTCACTGGGTAGAGAAATGGCATTATCAATAACTGTCAAGAAGATTTAAACTCTGGGAAATAGAGCCAATTTCAGCTGGAATAAAGGAACACATCAGTAATGTAAGGAAAATAAATTCGAAGAATGTTTAAACTAACCCAAGCAAATGGCAACAAAATAAAAATAGATTCTTTAAAAACAGTGTTGAAAGAAGAGCTCTTATGTCATTTTTTTAATCACCCCATTGGCTGTTAGTGCAACACCAAGCATGATGAGGGTACTCAACAAATTACCTGATTACCTGACATGTGAAATATTTAAAATAAACCGAATGTTGCTTTTAAAATTTTTCATCCGGAATAATTAGCCATTTCTAATTCTTACAAGTTCAGAATGACTCTCTTATCACCAGAACAGCTGGTGTCAGCATTTTTTATTGTGCTGAGTAACCACCAGGGCCCATGAATGGCAGAGTCTCTTTCCATGATCAACCCACCAATAAAGAGTTAATTGACGCCCTTTTCCATGCCCAGTCCTGAGATAGATTCCTTAAGAGCACTGAGCAGAATTTTCTTAAATAAATTAACTCAAAATTGACAATACAGTTATGATAAAATGAATAGTTTATGGGTCTTGAAACATAATCATACCAACTTGCAAAGCTCGTTTGTTATGCATGTAAGAAGGCAATAAACCCAAATTAGCTATGTACCTCAGTCATGATTATCATTTAATATATTTGCAACTAAGAAGGATGCTTAGGTTAGTCACGAGAAGAGGAAAAACTAAACTGGTGTGGAAAGTTTGGCTTTTTTAAATCATAGCTGTTTAAACAGTATATGGAAAATATAGGAGTTGCTCTATCTTTCAAGGCTGAAGATAATTTTTCCCGTAAAATTATAGTCAGACTGAGACTAAGCACGGGTGATCTAAAGCAAAGAAAAATGTAAAAATAATGGAAGATTGTGTGTATGTGTTGGGGTGGCAGTATTTAGGGCTTAGTGAGTATTTTATTTTACTCTGTCTTGTTTCTGTTGGTTTTAATTTTTAAATGTAACCAAGAATACGACACAAATTTGATACAAAAGTTATAAGATGCTAAATATCTGCTTGAAAAGTGGGAAATTTTATTTATAATAGTAGCCCTGGATTACATGGGTAGTTCGCCTCCTGCAGATACAAAGACAAACCCATCCTTATTCAGCATCTTTATCCAGCATCTCATCTTTATCCAGCATCCCAGTCCGGGTGGTACACAATGCAGGCTAGAGTGGAGAATGAGGGAACTAAACTCTTGAGACGACCAGGGCAGGCATTTTTTCTGCAGGTGAATAAGAATGAAAGAAGTGGCTGGGTAAATGGCAATTCCAGTTCTACCATCAGCCACCTACTCTTGGCCTGAATGCCTTGTCTGTGTGCTTCATAGCAGTTGGTGGTGGGAGGGGGTATTAAGCAATGAGCATTAGATTTGTTGCAGGAAGGGAGACCCCTTCCAGGGCCCAAGAGTGGGCTCTTAACACTCAAAAATGAATTATCTGAGGAGACACACGTACTGACAAAGCAGAAGACTTTACTAGGAAGGGGCGCCTGGGCGGAGATCGTGGGGTAAGGGAACCCAGGAGAACTGCTCTGGCACATGGCTCACAGTCTCAGGTTTTATGGTCATGGGGTTAGTTTCCGGGTTGTCTCTGGCCAGTCATCTTGCTTGTTGCCCATATCTGGTCTGACTCAGCATCCTTCCGGGTGGCATGTGCCTCTCTCAGCCAAGATGGATTCCAGCAAGAAGGATTCTGGGAGGTTGGCAGGATATGTTATGGGCTGGCATCTCCTCCCTCCTTTCCGCCCCTCTCGAATTCTCCCGGTTAGTTTTCGGTGGTAGCACCGTGCAAGCACCGTGTTCCTTATCGGGACCTCCTGTTGTGAGACAGCCCAGGCAAGTGGTTACCATCGTGCCTGGCCAAGGCGGGCAGTTTTGGTCAGCGGTTCCCTAACGGATCCACCGCGCACAGGGCTGCCATACAGAAGCTGCAGTATTTTGACTAGAATCCCAGATGACACTCTATTTTTATTCCATAATAGATACCCATTAAGTGCTTACGATGCGCCAGGCGCCTTTCAGACACCAGAAACTGTCAAATAAAAAAACAATTCCAGATTTATTTAAGAGAGACTATTCAGAAAGATTATTGCAAGGGAGGAAAAGAATTATTGCAGTAGGAGAAGAGGAATATTACAATAGAAAGGAAGCTGTGGCCATAAGATCTGTGAATACCTCAACGGTTAAACAAGGGTTTTTCTTTTACAGGGAGGAGTGAAAAGGCTAGAAAGAATCTGTGTGGGAGAGTGGGGTGAAGGAGTGGTCTGATCAGACAGTAGATCAGAGAACAGTTTACCCTGCAGCCAACGTATTCTCACCCGCCTGCTGGCTCAGGCTGAGGGTGGGCTACAGTTCAGTGGTCTCGGGGAAGGAGAGAATATTAACCAAAGTTTGGTTAATAAATATTTCGATCCAATTGCTCAGTAGAGACAAGCAGTTCAGCTAGTCATTTAGAAGGCAAAGAATAGAAACTTGGAAGGTCTGTGTCTGGCCTTGTTATAGGTAAACAGGGGGCATCCATGAACTAAGTCATTTTGGGGAAGGATGGTTCTTTTTTTTTTTTTAACATCTTTTTTGGAGTATAATTTCTTTACAATGGTGTGTTAGTTTCTGTTTTATAACAAAGTGAATCAGCTATACGTACACATATATCTCCATATCCCCTCCCTCTTGCGTCTGTCTCCCACCCTCCCTATTCCACCCCTCTGGGTGGTCACAAAGCACCGAGCTGATCTCCCTGTGCTATGCGGCCGCTTCCCACTAGCTATCTGTTTTACATTTGGTAGTGTATGTATGTCCATGCCACTCTCTCACTTCGTCCCAGCTTATCCTTCCCCCTGCCCGTGTCCTCAAGTCCATTCTCTACATCTGCGTCTTTATTCCTGTCCTGCCCCTAGGTTCTTCAGAACCATTTTTTGTTTGGTTGGGTTTTTTTAGATTCCATATATATGTGTTAGCGTACGGTATTTGCTTTTCTCTTTCTGACTTACTTCACTCTGTATGACAGACTCTAGGTCTATCCACCTCATTACAAATAGCTCAATTTTGTTTCTTTTTATGGCTGAGTAATATTCCATTGTATATATGTGCCACGTCTTCTTTATCCATTCATCCGATGATGGACACTTAGGTTGTTTCCATCTTCTGGCTATTGTAAATAGTGCTGCAATGAACATTGTGGTACATGACTCTTTTTGAATTATGGTTGTTTCAGGGTATATGCCCAGTAGTGGGATTGCTGGGTCACATGGTAGTTCTATTTGCAGTTCTTTAAGGAAGCTCCGTACTGTTCTCCATAGCGGCTGTATCAATTTACATTCCCACCAACAGTGCAAGGGGGGGTTCCTTTTTCTCCACACCCTCTCCAGCATTTTTTGCTTGTAGATTTTTTGATGATGGCCATTCTGACTGGTGTGAAGTGATACCTCATTGTAGTTTTGATTTGCATTTCTCTAATGATTAGTGATGTTGAGCATTCTTTCATGTGTTTGTTGGCAGCCTGTATATCTTCTTTGGAGAAATGTCTGTTTAGGTCTTCTGCCCATTTTTGGATTGGGTTGTTTGTTTTTATAATGTTGAGCTGCATAAGCTGCTTGTATATTTTGGAGATTAATCCTTTGTCAGTTGCTTCATTTGCAAATATTTTCTCCCATTCTGAGGGCTGTCTTTTGGTCTTGTTTATGGTTTCCTTTGCTGTGCAAAACATTTAAGTTTCATTAGGTCCCATTTGTTTATTTTTGTTTTTATTTCCATTTCTCTAGGACGTGGGTCACAAAGGATCTTGCTGTGATTTATGTCAGAGAGTGTTCTGCCTATGTTTTCCTCTAAGATTTTCATAGTGTCTGGCCTTACATTTAGGTCTTTAATCCATTTTGAGTTTATTTTTGTATATGGTGTTAGGGCTTGTTCTAATTTCATTCTTTTACACGTAGCTGTCCAGTTTTCCCAGCACCCCTTACTGAAGAGGCTGTCTTTTCTCCATTGTATATTCTTGCCTCCTTTGTCAAAGATAAGGTGACCATATGTGCGTGGGTTTATCTCTGGGCTTTCTATCTTGTTCCACTGATCTATATTTCTGTTTTTGTGCCAGTACCACACTGTCCTGATTACTGTAGCTTAGTAGTATAGTCTGAAGTCTGGGAGCCTGATTCCTCGAGCTCCATTTTTCTTTCTCAAGATTCCTTTGGCTATTTGGGGTCTTTGTTTCCATAAAAATTGTGAATTTTTTGTTCTAATTCTGTGAAAAATGCCATTGGTAGTTTGATAAGGATTGCAATGAATCTGCAGATTGCTTTGGGTAGTATAGTCATTTTCACAATGTTGATTCTTCCAATCAAGAACATGGTATAGCTCTCCATCTGTTTGTATCATCTTTAATTTCTTTCATCAGTGTCTTAACAGTTTTCTGCATACAGGTCTTTTGTCTCCTTAGGTAGGTTTATTCTTAGGTATTTTATTTCTTTTGTTGCAATGGTAAATGGGAGTGTTTCCTTAATTCCTTTTACAGATTTTTTCATCATTAGCATATAGGAATGCAAGAGATTTCTGTGCATTAATTTTGTATCTTGCTACTTTACCAAATTCATTGATTAGCTCTGGTAGTTTTCTGGTGGCATCTTTAGGATTCCGTATGTATGGTATCATGTCATCTGCAAACGATGACAGTTTTACTTTTTTCTTTTCCGATTTGGATTCCTTTTCTTTCTTTTTCTTCTCTGATTGCTGTGGCTAAAAATTCCAAAACTATGTTGAATAATAGCGGTGAGAGTGGTCAACCTTGTCTTGTTCCTGATCTTAGTGGAAATGGTTTCAGTTTTTCACCATTGAGAATGATGTTGACTGTGGGTTTGTCATATATGGCCTTTATTATGTTGAGGTAAGTTCCCTCTATGCCTGCTTTCTGGAGAGTTTTTTCAAAAATGGGTGTTGAATTTTGTCAAAAGCTTTTTCTGCATCTATTGAGATTATCATACGGTTTTTATCCTTCAATTTGTTAATATAGTGTATCACATTGATTGATTTGCATATATTGAAGAATCCTTCCATTCCTGGGATAAACCCCACTTGATCATGGTGTATGATGAAGGATGGTTCTTTGCAAGCAAATCATTTCTCAAATACAAAGGATGGGGGGATTTCTTAGACTTTACTGTTTTCCAGGCTCTCAAGCATCAGGTAAAGTTTAGCACTGTCAGATGGCAACAAAGGAGACAAAGTGGGTCCTCGCAGTCAAGGACCTGAGATTCCATGGGATGAAATGAACAGGGACCTCTAGGCCTGTCCATTAATACGGTCGTTTCAGATCCTGCTAAGCCTATGAAGAAAAGAGGAGGATATGATGATTGTGGGCAGTGACTGGTAGAGGAGGCCTCTGATGGTGGAGACAAGAGAAGGTCTCCTAGAAGACATGCCATTTGAGCTGAGAATTAAGTGATGCAAATGCGCCATCATGGCAGCTAGACCATCCTGAATGAGGTAGGGAACAGGAATGAGATTGGAAAGGAAAGCAGGACTAGAACAGGTGGGACTTGCAGGTAAGGAGCCTAGACTCTGGTTGCTCTGCTGAGGATGGATAGAGCAGAGGGAGAGCAAAGACAGGGAGGCGAGTAGGAAAGGCCTGGGAATTCTGCAGAGCTGGAATGATGGTCTGGACTGGGGTTGTGGTACTGGGATAGTGAAAAGTCATCCAGTTCAAGGTATGCTTTGGAAGTAGAGCTAATGAAATTTAGATAAGGCATGAGGAAATGATAACAACAGCAAACCCTTCCATAGAACCTACAACGCTCTAGGCACCGTTGTGAGTGCTTGATGTGTACTAACACATATTTTATCTTCACCAAAAAACATGAAGAGATAGGTGCTGTATGGTTCCCATTTTCAGATAAGGAAACTGAGGCACAGAACGATAAAGTAATTTATCCAAAGTCACAGAGCTAATAAGCGGCAGAGCTGAGATTTGAACCCTGGTAGGCTCCAGGGCAGAGTCTAGCATGCATGATTACTGTAATTTTGATCTGAGCTATTGTCCTGCCATTGGTTGAAATATTTAAGGCTCGGTGGGAAGTGGACTTGAAGAGGAGATCAATGGCTCAGTAGAGGCCATGTTAATTTTCTAGTACCTGTTAGATAACCAAGTGACAGTATTGAAAATTTAACTGGGTATATGTTTGGAGCTCGGGGAAAGTTTCAATTTGGAGCTGTAACTTCCAGCATCTTCAGCATATAGATGGCATTCAACACCACAGGGTTAAATGAGATCACCTCAGGGTTTGGGGGTGGGAGAGGAGAAAAAGCCAAGATCTGCACCCTGGGCAGGTCGGAGGTGTAGAAGCTACACCACTGGCTTTGAGCCTCTATTTGAGTTTTCCTGATTTCGGCATGAGGATATCTGTTCTGATGCCTCCTTCTCATACTCTTGCAGCTTGAAAAGAAACTTTGAAGTAAGCTGAAAGTTAATTTGCAATTTATTTGGGGCGGACTATCTCTCTGTGTGTAGAAAATCTCATTCTTGATCACTATGAGAATGACCGCTCGCTCAAGCTAAGATACCGCTTTGTTAACGTGTAGGAGACCTACTAGCACTGGAGCCCTAGACTGTTTGTTTGAAATATAAAAGACCGAGTTGCAGTTTACTAAATGGTTTCCTATCTCCCATCCTCTTTGACCTTCACACACACCCCAGGAGGTAAGCAGGCCACTGATGATGATGACCCTTAGCTGGTGAGCGTCTGATGTTTGAGAGACGAAATTACTTGCTTAGGGCTATACTGCTGAGTAGCAGAACTGGGATTCAGACCCACATCATGTGCTACCAAATCCTTTGCCCCCTTCAGCGGCACCAAGCCTGCTCAGCACGGCCAGTGTGCTTCACTACATTTGCAACTCCCATTCATTCTGTCAAAAGACAAAGGTAGAGATGCAAACATTTAACTTCATCTCTCCTCCTAGCCAAAATGTCCAAGTGTTGCTAATATTGAATCCCAGGACATCATGGGTTATAGATAAGAGCCCATAAAAGGAGTCCGACAGGAACTGGGCAGACGGCCAACACTTGCAGAGGGCGATCAGCCCAGTCGGGCTTCATTACTTTGTTAAACATGAATTCTCCAAGCATGCAGCACACCCATTTTCATATGTAAATATAAAACTACGTGTAAAAGTCAACTAAAAATAATCTGTGGGTTTTTTTAAACCATAATTGTGTATTTGCGATATTACAAATAATTGAGAGTTGATAGTCAAAGAAAAGCATGTAGGTAGAAAACAACAATATGTAAAACCCATCCCCTGTCCTCTGTGTGCTGGTGAAATGGGCAGGGACTTTTAGCAGAAATCTTAAGCAAATTATAGCAAATATCAGTTGGTTTTTAGTACCTGTGCCAGCCAAGCTGACTCTTTAACAAAGGATTCTTCTGGGTCATTTTTCACCTGTCAAGATTTCCGGGGAGGTGTCTCTCTCTTGTCCCCCCCCTTTCAAATGCCAGCTGATTCAGTCACTAGAACGTTCATTTACCTTGCTGCTTTGAGACAGTACAGCACAGCAGGTTTAACTAAATTGCCAATAAGACCATCTTAAATTACTGGTACCTCCACCTCCACCCCTTGCAGCACCTCCAGCGGGAGCAGGTGTGACGGGCTTTCAGAGCAACAAGTGTTCTTTGCTACCGTTGCTCTGAACCCTCTGGCAGACACTAGCAGGAAAGGACAAGTCAAGGACAAGGAACCGGAGGGTGAGAGTACCCGGAACACTGGCCACCCTGTCACCCGACACTGCCTGCAGCCTGGGAGGCTGAAAATCATATACGAGGGGGAACTTGTCTGAACGCGGCATGGGCTCTGGTTGGCAGAGGAAGGCCACCTGATCTCTATCTTTCCAGATGCTGATGTCAAAGACAAGTTCAGCAGATGTGCTGTCACTGACATGATGCCATCCTCTGACCTCAAAACAAAGAAAAAAATCCCTCTGAATTCTCACCAGACGTGCCTGTGAACCCGTACAGCTGATGGGTGAGTACTATCTTCCTGGACAGTCAAGCAGCATCCTACGACATGCTTTAAAAACGCAAGGCAGTGAGAACCGCTGTCAAAAGGTGAAAGAAAGAGAAGAAGCAGTGATTAGACACAACAAGAGAGCATCCCTTGTCTGAAAAATGTGAACTGTGGCATCCTCCCTTTCGTCAGGGCTTTCTGTCTCTCTGGATTGGTGCAGTGGACAAGGACGTTGTGCAGAGACCTCTCCTGAACCCCAACCTGGCCCCAAACTATATCCTTTCTACTCTCCTCGTTCAGTTTATTTATAATTCCTCTGAAATTAACTTTATTACTCAAGGGATAGTTAGCCTGTATGGGATTCTAAAACAGTACGGCTTAGCCACTGCCTCACAACCTCTTTCACATCAGCACACTCAGAACAAATGACAGTATTTGGAAAACACAGCAAGGGAAATGGATGAGGCTAGCCAAGGGTCCCTGGGCCACCCCCTGGGAAGCAGTATCTGAGCACACATCACTTGGAAGCACTGACTTAGATCAGGGAGCTCAAGCCACAGGTACTTGATTCTTGTAGGACAGGAAAACATGCAAGACTCACTTTTATGATATTATCAGGGCGCCAGCATGTAGATTCTGGGGTCCAGTACTTCCATCCTAGAGCTACTGAATCCAAATTCAAGTAGGCGGGGAGATCTGGGGATCTGAATTTATGCAAGCTCCTCGTGTCGTCTTCATGCGGGTTAAGGCTGCAAACCTCTGTGTTTGGTGTCTCCATTCTCATCACCCTTACTTCCTCCCCAGCATCCCTTACTTCTCTCTCGTATCCACTTCCTGGCTGGGGTGTTTCCTCTGGGGAGCTAGCACTTCCACATTAAGATAGTAGAAGACAGAAGAAAGAAAAAAGACTCAGCAGAACTAAACGCAGAACTTGGGTGCTCAGAGGCTGTCGGTACGTTTGAGCTGGACCAGAAAGGACCCCTCACTTTCCACACAAGACCCGAGGGCCCTGAAGGTCAGAACTCCCACCCCTCCCCCAGCTCTTATTAACCAACAGCTTCACCAGAGGGGTAAAGAAAGAAATGACGCATCCCTGGCATGGCGAAGTGGGAAGGAGAGAGAGGGGTAAAAATACTTCTTCCCACTCAGCTGGCGTATGGGAAGAAGAGGCCCGGAGAACAGCTGCTTGCTGGAAGCTAAAGGAAAGGCAGAACGCGGTCTGGTTCCTTCCTTTGGACTGTGCGTTGCCTTTATCACCTAATAGTCAGACTTGTTTACAGGCACGTGGGCTCTCAGATGTCCCTGACCATTCAGATGTTATAGACACAGCCCAGGGCGCCACAGTTAATCTAAGGAAGCAATTCTAAGCACTTTCCTAACTCTCTGGCTATTCATAGCCTCTATAAAAGGCAGGGGTTGGACAGCCTAATAAGTAAGATCTAGCATATAAGTGCACAGATCATGACTAAAAACAGGGATCTGCTGCCCCAGTTTAGCCGGGCGAGGGGGCAGGGGAGAGCTGCCAGTCACACTGACTGACAGCAAGAGGAGGAGGAGAAAGCAGAAAAGGGGGCTCGATCGTGTGCTCTGGGCAGAGACCACATTCGTGTGAAGGGAGGGATCAGCTGGGCGTAGAGTTACTGCAGAGCTGCACCTCGGCCACCCCGCCAAGGCGACGATACAGCAGCCCCTCCTGTTAGCCTGGTGCTGCAGCTGGGGAGCTGGGGCCAGAGCACCCCTGCCTGCAGCGATGCAGCGCTGTGCCGACGGCTGCAGCCCGGGCTGCCTGCGGCACCGGCACCGGCCTGCTTACATCTGCTGTTCACCGTCAACACCCGTGCAGCTGCGCACAGTGCCGAGTGCTCTCCGGAGCCCCGTGAGTGTGTGTTCACAAAGGCTAAGCCAGAAGATGACTTTGAATGCATAGGCGACGCTTCCTGAGGCAGGCTATTGGAATCTCTCTCCTCGGGATGGCTGTGACCACATGCTGCCTGCACTGTCTCGCTCTTCCGTTACCACATCTCTGGTTTTGCCCTCAGCACCTCGGCTGCCGTTTCTGTCAAGTTTAACCCAACCCCACCCAGGACTGCACATGATAACTGCCTTCCACCAATGTTCCCATCAAGGAAGATACCACGATAGTGATTCCTTCCTAGAGAGAATTATCTTTGCGCTTAAGGGTTACCCGATCTGCTGTGTTTTGGGGACTTCCAATATGCCAAGGTCAGGAACCCCTCTGATGTTGTGATTTATACAGTATATACTAGCCAATGTGCTTTAGTGCTGTGATTGCCATAAAATAGTCCCTCTGTGGGTGATGCTACCTCTCATGTGAGCGGTTTCGCCCAAATGGAAAACCTGCCTAGGAAAGACAGTTTGACTTTCCAGGTATTTAAGCAATAGTTAAATTGGTATTGTATTTCATTCTTAAAATTGAAAATGAAGTTTTCATTTTCAGTGCACTCCGAAGTTATTCACTAATGATATGCTGCAGTTTTTAAGCAGAGATGATATATTAAATCACTTTATGAATGATTTTTTTAAACATAGACGTTGACTAAAATGCTGTACAGTAAGTCCCCTACATACGAACCTTCAAGTTGTGAACTTTCAAAGATGCGACCGTGCATTCCATCACCATCAGGCGTGAGTGAAATTAAACCTCGCCCTCCGTCTGCTATTGCTGATGACCCTTCAGCTCTACCGTCTCCCGCCTCCTCTCCCTCCCCCAGTCAGTAACTCTTCTTGCCTGTTCACGCGATGCCAGCCCCTGTGTGCCAGCTGTTGTACTGTACTACTGTACTTTTCAAGGTACTGTACTGTAAGATTAAAAAGTGTTTATTTTTTGTTTTTTATGTATTATTTATGTGAAAAGTATTATAAACCTATTACAGTACAGTACTATATAGCCAATTGTGTTAGTTGGCTACCTAGGCTAACTTTGTTGGACTTACGAACGAATTGGACAAACCCACTCTGGGAACCGAACTCACACGTATGTAGGGGACTTACTGTAAATAGTCTGGCTGTAGAATTCTTGACTATGCCTGGCTTAGGAATCTTTAATATGCAATTTTTCAGACATTGGAAGTTTTTAAATGTTTTGTACCTGCTGCGCCCCAGAGTTAGGGACTCTGCATTGCTCTCCTACTCTAGGTTTACACTAGAGCTTTGGCATGTGTCAAATGAAACCAAAGTTCGGCATTGCTTTTCTTCAAAACATTCCATTGTGCAGAATAAACTCTTACGGGAACAAGAATGTTAATTATGTAATAATTTCACTAGACAAGCAAAGAGCAATTCTAATCTAAGTAATGTCTCCTTATACCTCCCTTTTATGACATAAACACAGTGGCGATTTTGAATGCACTTACCAAGGATGTTCTCTATGGTTTAGGTGAAAGCCATTCAGCTGCTCCAGGCAAGGACAGCAGTAAGTAACAGCTGTGTCTGTGCTGGCGTCGCGGGTATAATGCCTGGGTCACAGGGGTGAGAACTGATTCTGCTGGGCTTGTGCTTCATGGGATGCTTCTGTCTCTTGGTGCCCACCCCTTCCCCGGGCCACCTTTGTTAAGTATGATTTGGCTCAAACCTGATTCAAAGTGGTCCTCCTGGTGTGTACGCACTTGTTCAATAATATGAGACAACATTTTCTTCTCCTCTCCTTGCCAGGTGCATGACACTGCTTTGGACTTTCTAGGATGTAGGAGAAAAGAAATCTTTTAAAATATAAAATAATCAATTCTTTGGAAAACTGAGTTGGGCTGTGTTCTTGCTGAATGTTCTTATGTTGACTACTCAAATACCAAGATTTTTTTTCTTTGCATTTGGTTAATTAAAAATCTGCAAATTCACTTCTCTTTTCCTAGCTTTACTGAGGTAAAATTGACATGTAAAATTATAAGATAGTTAAAGTGTACCGATTCGATAATTAGATATACGTGTATATTGTGAAAGGATTCCCCCATTAATTAACACACCCATCACCTCACATATTTACCCCCCCTTTTTTATTTTTGGTGAGAACATCTAAGTTCTACTCTCTTAGCAAATTTCATTCACACAGTACAGTGTTATCAACTGTGGTCACCACATTATATGCTATGTCCTCAGACTTTATTCATCTTATAACGGAAAGATTTTTACTCTTTACAGACCTCTCGCTATTTTCCCCAACCTCAGCCCCTGGCATCCACTTTTCAAAGCTCTGCTTCTATAAGTTTGACTTTTTTTTTTTCTTTTAGATTCCACAAATAAGTGATGCCACTCCATCGTTCTCTGTCTGGCTTATTTCACTTAGCATAATGCCCTCCAGTTTCACCATGTTGCTGCAAATGATAGGATTTCCTTCCCTTTTAAAGGCTGAATATTATTCCGTTGTCTATATATATATATATATATATATATATATACACACACACATTTTCTTGATCCATTCATCCATCGGTTGACAGACATTTGGTTGTTTCCCTACCTCGGCTATTTAATGCTGCAATGAAAATGGGGGTATAGCTATCTCTTCAAGATAATGGTTTCATTTCCTTTAGATACCCAGAAATGGACTTGCTGGATCATACGGTAGTTCTATGTTTAATTTTTTGAGGCACCTCCATATTGTTTTCCATATTGGCTGCACCAGTTTACATTCCCACCAACAGTGTAGGAAGGGTCCCTTTCCTCCACATCTTCACCAGCAAGTCTACTTCTTTTTTAAAAAAATTATTGGAATAGAGTTGATTTACAATGTCGTGTTAGATTCAGGTATACGGCAAAGTGAATCAGTTATACATATACATACGTCCACTCTTTTTTAGATTCTTTAGAGTCTTTCCCATGTAGGTCATTCCAGAGTACTGAGTAGAGTTCTCTGTGCTATAAGTAGGTACTTATTAGTTATCTATTTCTTGTTCATTGTTAAATTCACTGTAAATGAAGGCTTTTACAATTAAAATGAGATTTGTTTCCATCTAAAGAAAGAGGCAAGAGTGCCTGCAAAACTGAAACATGGCCCGTGCGAGCAGAGCAGAGTGACAGGACTGGCTGGCTCGCCCAGAAATTCTGCCCCTTGCTTTTCTTCATGCCCTTATTTCCTCCCATCTGGTCTTTTCTCCTGTCCTTGGCTTTCTCGGTAAAAGTCGTCATCATCCTCATCACCACCATCACCATCACCACTGACAACCATAAATAACATAGTTAATAAAATAGCAATGAATAGCGAGTCTCCTCCAGAAGAGAAACAGAACACGTGAACACACAGTAATTCAGGTTAGTATGAGCCAGTAAGTGGCACACAAGCATATCTATTTTCTAAATTCCAGTCTCCCGGCCCTTTAAGTTGCTGAAAAATACTCAGTAAGCACTCTTGGAACACGGGTACAACTCTTACTGGGTCTGTAGCCTGCGACCTGCACTGGTGGGTACAAAATCCACGCGCTTCAACTTTGTGAGCAGACGGGAGCGTTTCCAAAGTCAATCAGAGGACAGAAAACTGAAAGCATCCAAAACGATTTCCCTAACCTCTTCAAGTATGCTTGAGTAACATGTAATTTAAGCACTTCTCGTCGTGAGTTAAAACATATTTAACACTTACAAAATCTTAAAAGTCAAGATTTAAAATGTGTGGCTTTGCTGAACATACATCAAATTTATAGGCATTGAAGGCCTGCCCGCCATCAATTAATGGTGGCAAAACAGCTAAAGATGTTTTATCAGTATGTTTGCTAAAAGGAAAAATCTGTCTACTCAATTAGCAAAGACACAGAAAATGAAAGTGATGTTGCTAATGCCTTTGTTGGCGTTATCACTACAATCTGGGTTTTGTTTAAATCAAATAGTACGCTGTAATCAATTTTAGCCCATTTTAAAATGCATGTGTTATGATCAATCAAAACCTTTTTTTTTTTTTTTTTTTTTTTTTTGTGGTACGCAGGCCTCTCACTGTTGCAGCCTCTCCCGTTGCAGAGCACAGGCTCCAGACACGCAGGCTCAGCGGCCATGGCTCACGGGCCCAGCCGCTCCGTGGCATGTGGGATCTTCCCGGACCGGGACACGAACCCATGTCCCCTGCATCAGCAGGCAGACTCTCAACCACTGCGCCACCAGGGAAGCCCTCAAAACCATTTTTAGTGCTATTTCAGGAAAGAAAATAATTCTGAACATCAGAGAAATTTTTTTATTGGCACCAGAAGCATCACCTCGAACGCATACGATGTAGGACCTAAAGCTCTTATAAAATTATATTTCCTGGGAGTGCCATGGTGGCCTAGTGGTTAGGATTCCCGGCTTTCACTGCCGGGGCCCGGGTTCAATCCCTGGTTGGGGAACTGAGCTCCTGCAAGTTGCATGGCCAAGAAAAAAAAACCTTATATTTCCAATTAGGAAATCAATAACCATAACACATAAGTAGTTAAGTTGATCTTGGTCTGAAACTTGCCTTCTTCAATTCACTTAGAAGCCCTGTATGTCATGAGAGGGCTCTAGTGATTTATTTTGTCAAAATGACCTGAAATCATCTCCTTCACTAACACCACCTCACAGATTTAAT